TTAATAATATATATTTTATATAAAAAAAAAAGAATGAAAAAATTTTTAGTGGGGGCAAGTGCCCCCATTATGATTAATTTAGATCCATCCCTGCATGTGGTTGTGTGGTGAAATGTTAGTCTTGTGTATCCTCTTCGTTTGCTTCAGGTTCTATCTCTTCAAGAATAGGTTGTTGTTGGGGTACATCGTTAATGACTTAAAAAAAAAATATCATGTCATTTCATCCTTTACTGTATAGTGTTAATTTGGTAGTAAGTGGTTCACTCCAATTTGACTAACAATGAAATAAAATTTGTTACCATTGTCTTTAGTGATACACTGCATTGTCCTTAACGATATACTGTATAGCCCAACTATTTAGCAATTAAAGTTATCAATTTCTATTGACAATATTACCAAATTCAGTGTTTGAAATGCTTTGTATTTTGGGTCTTTTTCCTTTCATGATTCACAACCGTGAACTATAATCATTGACAGTTTGTGTTTAACAGTTTGGAACCAAAATGGCCCGTTCTGAAACCAGAATGACCCGTTCTGGTTGCACTTTTAGTGTATTAATTTTTTACCTGAAACGGGCCGTTCCGGATGCAAAATTAACACACTAAGAGTGAACCTAGAACGGGCCGTTCTGGTTCAAGGTGTTTTCAAAAAAAATTGGCATCCACGTGGCATCCACCTATACATCTACGTGGCATCCACGTGCATGTCACGTGGCCAACAGTTAACTCCGTTTAAATAATTTAGACACAAGTCCTACATTGCAACCAATTAATTTATTAGGGACCAAATTAAGACAAAAAATAAAAGTAGGACTAAATTAAAACAAACAATTATTATAAGGACCAAAATAAGTTTTTAGCCTATTTTTTATATATCATTATATATAATAATTTTTTTAATTTTACAAAGTCAACACTACATAAAGCCAAAGTGATATCCCCCAAACAAAAACTAGAGACAAAAACAGAATTTGACTAGAAACATAATTTTGTAAACATAATTTTGTAGTACTAATTGTATATTGCCGTTTTATATATTTTACTACCCAAATCATATAAATTGTTTTTTGTGGATGGCATGAAATCTTCATTTGGTTGCAGAGATGACTTAGAGACCTATTCTGCCGAATTAAAAAACCTTGCGATCCAAATCATTGACCTTATGGCAAATGCGCTTACTGTGGACACCGAGGAAATTAGAGAATTATTTGGTGAAGGGATTCAATCAATGAGGATGAATTATTATCCACCATGTCCCCAACCAGAGCTTGTGATGGGACTCAATCCCCACTCTGATGGTGGAGGCCTCACTATCCTTCTCCAAGTCAATGAAGTAGAAGGTCTACAAATTAAAAAAGATGGATCATGGATTCCTATTAAACCCCTCCCCAATGCTTTCATCATCAACCTTGGAGACATGTTAGAGGTAATTAATTATGATTTTGACTAATTGATAATTATGGATTCTTTTGACTTATCAAATGTTTAAAGTAGCTAGAAAACACATATGGATAATTAATAACCTTAGGAAAATTTGAATTGATTGTGACTAACATTTTTAATTAAACATTTGCAATCATGGTTGATCCTTACCTTAACAACGAATTGGGTAGATAATGACGAATGGAATTTATCGAAGCATAGAACACCGAGCAACAGTTAACATTGGAAAGGAAAGAGTTTCAGTGGCTACATTTTACGGGCCTGGAAGTGAAGTAATTGTGCGTCCAGCAGCGAGCCTTGTTACTGAAAAAACACCAGCAGTGTTCAAAACAGTGAGTGTAGCCGAATACTACAGGGGATACCTCTCAAGAGAACTCCGTGGGAGATCATACCTTGATACCATCAGGATACAAAACAAAGATCACAAAAGCTCTTAGAACTTTACCATTCGTCGAAACAGAATGATTATACAACCCTATCAATTTCAGTGCCACAAAACCTTCGTCTTTTTTTTCTTTTTTTCTTTTAATTATGTCGTAAACAATTGATAAAAATAAGTTCATCACGTGTTCTGATTCTTCGTAACTCAAACCTGACTTTTGTCTTATACATGTGCCGGTTTTCAAATTTCTTATGCGCTTCCATTTTCTGCTCGCTCTAAAAACAATGAGTCTTTTTTTCAGTCTTTGTAGAGTTTTATTTTTATTTTTATTTTTATTTTTATTTTTTTTACTTTTCATCCTCTAAAATTAAAATTATTGTTTTTAATTTCTAATATTTTGTAATTTTTGTTAATTACTTTTAAGTTTATTATATGGTCAGGTGATTAATTTTAATAACACTCATCACTATTGTATCTATATTTTTTATTGTTTTTTATTTTCACTTTTTAATAGATCATTATATTCTTTAGATGTAAAAAAAAATATTTTTTTAAATAATTACATATAATCTTTTAATATCTTATTTATATATAATTATTAGAGGTATGAAATGTCTCAATTCCTCTAATTTGATATTATATCAATATGAAATATATTTTAAAAAAATGTATAAATTTTTAAAATAAATAATATTTATTTATCTTAAAATGAGTATTACTTTTAGATTTTAGAGAGTTAAAAGTTATATATATATATAGTGTTAATTTGGTAGT